CTAGAACCATCAGAAAGAAACTTAAGTGGCTTCCCCAACAGTAAAAAACCCTGAGATTTCAGTTCTGATGATTAATTTGTTTCTCTACCATGTTTTTTCTCAGATCAAGGTTCATAGAGAGAAATTCAGATTTCATAGCCAGAAAACCTTACACTGGTCCATTGTATTACATTTTCTGACCTGTTACATGTGCTGTGTTTCCTACACGGAGTTGTTCGCATCCAGCCCCTTCCAAAACAAAGCTGCACAACTTTTCCTTCGAAATCAGCCCTCCAAAGGTGAGGAGACACAGGGCTCAAATATTTCTGAGATAACAGCCCTTTATTTGCCAGGACATGTTGCTGCCTGCGGGACAACTGGTGCACATCCACAGGTCTCTTCCTACAGGACTGATAGAGCCAAATCCTGGTGCAGGCCCTGTGCTGCTCTGGGTATCCCCATATCATTTATCTCCTTGGAAAAGCTGTAGAGCTCTCATCTGGGAGGTGGGGAAGAAGCACTAGGTCCCTCCTTGCCGCAGGGGTGTCCCTGCAGACTCTCCCTGCACCACCAGGCAGGTGCAGGGCAGATTTTGGGGTGCTGCCATTCCCAGCTCCCGCCAAAGCTGACCCAGAGGATCCCTCCTGACCCTGCCTGCATTGGAGCCCGTGACCTAGAGGTGAACTGCTCTATATCCCATATCCAGTCTCCCACTGAGTTTATTTTCTGGTGTGGCAGATCAAAGACCGCTGTAAGGAGAAAATCTATCAAAGGCTCAGCACCCTAAGATACATCCAGCTCTCTTTTATGTTTACTTTTAACAAGCGTGCTCCTTCCTATTGTTCGGCAACCGCTTTAAAATGGATAATTATCAGATTTCCCTATTAATGGGAAAAATCAGGCAGCCATAAATCTTAAAACGTGCTACTATCTGCACACTGCATGTATCACATTAGGGAAAAAAACAATCTGTGCAGAAAAGCTATTACAGAGTGACCATGGCTCGGCTCAGCAGCTGGTTTTAATTTCAGCAGAGGATCCCCTCTGCTTCCCAGCATCCACCAGCCCTGCTCTTCCCACTGCTTCCCTGTAAGCACTGCACAATTCCAGTGTCAGCCTTGCACATCACACACTACAGCGATTCTCTGCATCAGAGACAACGACTGCCAGCTCCTCACTGCATCTGCCTCGTCCTTCACCCGATCCCACAATCGTTTGGGTCGGAAGGGACCTTAAAAATCATCTCATTCCAGCCCCCTGCCATGGACAGGAACACCTTCCACTAGACCAGGTTTCTCCAGACACCATCCAACGTGTTTGGAAGAAGTGAAAAGTTCTTTTATTCCCCCTCCACAGTGACCCACACAAAGCTGAACACGGACTCAAATGGCTGGTGGACAGGCTGCCTTTCAAGTCCTGGTTATCTCCCTTCCTGCACAGAGAGCAAAAGATGCATGTTGGTCTTATGGTTAAAGCAACAGACTGGCATTCAGGAAATTCCAAGTGCAGCTCTGCTCCTCTCCCTCAAAAAGGATTGGAATCTAAAGTAGCCATGAGGACTAGTATGAGTTTGTCTACAGATTTTGAGTGGCTTTGGGTAAATTGCTTTACCCACCCTCAGCTGCCATTCCCTGTGCTTGCTGGGATACTCGTGCCCATTTCGCTGGGATGCTGCAAGGATTATCTGGTATTTGGAAAGCTCTTTAACTCATGTAACTCACAAGTAACAATTAAATACGCTCCTGCTTTCAGATCACAACCACAATAATTGAGAGCTGAGCACATTTTGTTTAGATTTTCCTACGGCTGTCTGAATTCACTGAGACAAATGACAGAGAAATATGATTCATCGAATTCATGACTATTTCCAAAACAGTTTACTTTAATCTGAGCAACGGGAAAAAAACGTTGAAGGCAAGACTATTTTACCCAGCTGACTTAAGAGGGCTGTTTTATTCCACATTTCTGTTTTCAATAAACATCCCAGGACAAACACATTCCCTGCAGCAGATCCATGCAAAGGACAAAAAGGCGTTAAATCCTAAGGGGGGGCTGGGGTGGGGTGTGAGGGGAAGAGATAAATAGTTTACTTCTATTATCTTTACCATATGTTCTATTCCAACTGGATACACATAAACAGCATGTAATCTTCAAGCTCAGCTTTAGACTCTTTGAAGTGACCTGACCATACTACTGATTTATTTCAAACTAACCTTTCTCTTTGAACCCTAGGTCAAGGTTAATTCCATAATAAAACATACCTTATACAGCTGGCTGTTCCAGTGGTGCTAGCAAGGAACGAAGCCCTCAGACATAAGCATTTGTTTCACTGAGTGTGGTATTGTATTTCTATTTTCTCTTCCCTGTATTAATTTCCTTCACAGACCCTAGTTAAGAGGAAAAAAAAACTCTTTTCCGGTCCATGAGATCAATTTTAAACACACTGGAATTAAATGAAGACATTTAAGCCACATTTCTTCGCTGAAATGCATCCGCCAACACCAGAAACTATTTTTATTACAGTCTACGTTTAATAATCAGATCTTCAATTTCATAAGAAGCCGTACAGCCACGTTATTCAAACTCCTGCACTGGCAACGACCCTTTCAGTATCTTTTACAAAACCATCTTTGCACTGAATCACAGCAAATCACCAAGGATAGCTTTTCTATCTAGGAAAATAAAATGGGAAAACGGAAACACATTTGAAGGGCACTTCTCTGAAAAGCAGAAGAGAGTTCCTTGCCAGTGCCCCAGCCAGTCTTGCCTGCCTGTTGGTATTAAAAGGTACAAGCCCTCCAAGCAGGGGTGCAAAGGTGCGGGAGAAAGCTTGGGATGCGGGATGCAGTCGCCGGGAGATACTGAGGTGCACGACACGCTGCTGAAGGATTCCTCATCAGGTTGTTTTTAAGAGGACTGGAAAGACGCTTTTTTGAATCTCAGCCTCCAGCCCACGGCATGTGCTCACAGCGCTTAATTAAAAAGCCACAACACCAAAGCTAAACCAGCAGCTGTTCCGTATTTCTCCTGACCCCAAAGCCTGGCCAACGTGGCGCCTCCTGGAGCTGTTGGGAGAGGGATGAGTAGAATTCTTGTGGGTTTGGGGCTTCTGCAAGGCACAGGCCGGGAAATCTTATCAGTACCAGGGGGAACTGCGTTTCCCCTCCAAAGGAACAATGATTTCATCCTCACACATTTTGCAGGCCTGAGTCTACGGCGGTTGATGATCAGCATCAGCAGCACACAAAAGGAGCGACGCCCCTAAAACCAGCCCCAAAAGCTTTCATTGCTTCATCTCTGCCTTGGGGGCAGCTTTGTAAAACAGGGTTTAGATGAGTTTGAGCAGACAGCACTCTCGGGCAGCATCGATACAGCAAACTTGTTATCTCATCAATATCTGTCATTGCCAAACGCAGCTGAGCTCGCCGTAATGGAAGCACCATCCATTTGGAATCCCAAAGGTAGGCATCAGTTTTGGATCAATGCTCTCAGAATCTCCGTTAACTATTACGATGCCAGTGATGTTTTAGAAATATTTTGGGTTCATTTCTTTGGGTTAAATTCTTGGCCACAAAAGGTCTTCACGGCACTCTTAAAACAAATAAGAAGTGGTGGCACAGTAAGCCCAGTGTCCCCAGAACCAACGTGGCTCCAAGGAAGCCCTTTTCCCTCCAGCTCTCCATTCCCAATTCACCATGCTGTCTTTCTCTTCCAGCTTCTCCTCAGGGACTGTTGCCTGTCCCCACTCCTTAGTCACATGCCAGGATGTCCCCCGTAGCAGAGCCCCAGCTGCCAGTGCCGTGTGTGTCCTGCCCTCTACAAAATCACAGCCCTGGGCATGATGGGAGGCAAAAGACACAGCGCGCAGAAATTCCTGAACAGGAGTGTTTTTCCCTGTCCCAGGGATATCAGCAGTACCCTTTCTCTCTCCTCTACCACAGTGAGGGGTATCTTAAATGAGATCACTGGAATTATATCAGTCCAAGAGCTGAAAATGACAACGCAAAATCCCACCCAAATGCATTGAAAGAGACACCTCTACCATTTTCTGATCTTCTTAAACGGGCACCAAAAATTGTTACACTGAGTGATTTATTAGTGAATGAAATCAGCCAATTAGACAGCCGAGGACTGATTTTTTGAAAGGATCGCACAGAACAATTTAATATCGTGGGAGATAATAAACATGTCCCGAGCTGGATCACTGAATGATGTCGCTAACAGCCTGTCAGAGATAGCAGATATTTACAGCAGAATAAGGCACCACATCAGATAAAGTAAAATACATCCTCTCAAGGATATAGAAATACGGAAAGGAATCGCTCCAGCTGCATTTCAAGTCTGGGTAATTTCCATAACTCCTGAGAAAAAGCTTTGTGTGGTGCTAGACCTCTTCTAAAGTCACCCATCCATGCTCCTGGCATGCCAGAGGAGGCCCTCTGGACCAAGCAAGGGAAAAATAGCACAGACCTCACAGGCTGGATGATGTTTTAAATAAAAAACAATATACAGACAACTAGTAAATTGGGTGACCTAAACCAAAGGTACCTTTAAAATCATTTTATCTACACATTGCCTCTAGATGTGAGACCTAAGTAAGTATTTCTAGAACTGCTGGCTTCCTATTGCAGCCTTGTTCATGCAGCTATTACTGAAAGACACTTTTTTGATAAACTAGTAAAAAGTAAGTAAATAAACCTATAACTCAACATGATTTGTATATACATCATTGTAAAATAATTTGCAATTTAATGTAACTGTGCACATCCTATGACCTACCTGGTCCCATCCAGAATTTTGAAACCTTCTTACACTCCCAAGCCATTTCAGTGGGTGAGTAAGAACAGGAACTCCGCACTTGGATGAAATCCACATTTTGTTTGCTTTGATACCAGTTTGCCCTCAGACAGGATGTAATACAGCTGGTGTTCCTGTTTACTCTGAGGAAGGCTGCAAATTGCACCTCCACCGATCTCTGGAGATCCAGCTGTGAGACGAGAGCCCAGATATTCACAACTGACCTTAACATTTCCCTGAGTGTCTGCAATAGTCCCTGTGTCATCTGCATCAGTTACTCCATGGATATGTGCACTATTCCTCCTGAATGAAGAAAATGAGAAAGGTGTCAGAAGATACCCCATTTAGCTAAATATTTCCAAAACTGTACTCATGAGTGTTTGGGTCGAGGAGACCTCCACCCTGATGATGGTGATTTCTAAAACATTTTGGAACTGGAGAGATGCTTCTCAGCACTAACACTGCATCAGTATTTCAGGGAGGAACACTGAGCCCCAGTTTCAGGCAACATAGTGAACGCCGCCTGGTGAAACCACTGGTAAGAGGCTCAACTAAAAAGTACATTCCTGTGCCTTAATCCTGCAACAGCAGCTTGCAGAGATGACTCAAACAAACCTGGATTCATTCTCAAGGCTACAAGTCTGGATGATAAAGGGAGCTGTTGAGGGGTAATGACATCTACGTGTTTTTGACACAAGTAAGTCTGTTAAAATTAGAGCCACATAAAACCAAAAAGCAGTCTCCCTGGACGACCTTTCTGGCTGATCTGCGTTGCTGTTTCACAACAATGCAATGCCCAAGCTGTGAGTTTGCCTCTGCCACGCCCCAGCCTGGGACGCTGGGCAGGGGATGGGGAACAAGCCATCTGACATGGTCACGGTGCAACTCACACCCCAGGACACTGCCATTGTCCCCCCGCCGTTCCCTGCCTTGGGGTCCTGATGCTCTGGTGTCATAGGTACAGACATACGGGTTCCCCTCCACATCCTCCCTGCCCCATGGGCCTATCCTGGTCTATACCTGAGGGGAAGGTGATGTTTCTCCCCCCTTCCAGCCTCCATCTGAGAGGACGATGCAATTGCCTCCTTCACCCCTCTCCTACCTGAGGGGTAGGCACCATCCCTCCTGAACCCTCCCAGTCTCTACCTGAGAAGAAGACGCCATTTCCCCTCTTTTAAGAGGGCAAGGGGCCATTTCCCCCCCGGGGCCCTTCTCCAGGTCTCCACCTGAGGGGAAAGCACCATTTTCCCACTGCACCCCTCTCAGAGACTCTACCTGAGGGGAAGGTGCCATTTCCATCTACACCCTTCTCCTGATCAATACCTGAGGGATGGCACAATTTCCCACTGCACCCCTCTCACAGTCTCTACCTGAGGGGAAAGCACCACACCCTCCTCGTGCCCCTCTTCAGATCGCTACCTGAGGCGAAGGCACCATTCTGTCACTCTGTACCACCCTCCTGCTCTCTACCTGAGAGGAAGATGCTATTGTCCCCTCTACTCCTATCCTCATCTCTGCCTGGACTAAAAAGTGCCATTTGCCCCCTGTACTGCTCTCCTGGTCCATGCCTGAGGGGAAGGCGCTATTGCCCTCTGTGCCCCTCTCCCAGCCTCTGCCCGAGGGGAAGATGCCACTGTCCCCTGTGCCCCTCTCCCGTCTCTACCCGAGGCGAAGTCGCCATGCCCCCCCGCACCTCCCCGTCCCCCACGAACGGCCGCACCGGCCGCCCGCCCTCCCTCCCTCCCTCCCTCCCGGCCGTGCGGGCACCGGCAGCCGCCGAGCGGCGCGGAGCGGGCGGCGAAGGCAGCGGGGCGGAGCGGGGCGGAGCAGCGGGGCCATGGAGCGGCCCCGGCGGCGGAAGGGGCGACGCCTGCGGGGCGGGCGCTGCCGCCGCCGTGTGGGAGCGGCCGCCGGGGCTCGGCAGCCGCCGCCGCCGCCGGGCATGGCAGCGCCCGGCCCCGGGCCCGGCGAGGCGGCCTCGGGCGCCGGGGAGGCGGCGCGGCGGGACCCGCTGGCCGCCGACCTGCGGTGCAGCCTGTTCGCCGCCGCGCTGCAGAGCTACAAGCGAGACTCGGCGCTGAGGCCCTTCCCGGGCCGCTACGCCAGCGGCGACACCAAGGACTTCGAGGGGCTGGTGAGTGCCGGGGAGCGCCCGCTCCGGGGGCGAGCCCGGGCTGCCCGCTGAGGGGAGGGCAGCGGCGCCTCGGGGGCGGGGATGAAGCGGGGATGAAGGGTTTATCTGGTCACAGGGTCCAGGTTTAAAAGCGTGACAGGGTTTCTGAGCGATAAACCCGCCCTCGGAAGCGCCAGTGTGGGGGTGTGGAAGGCAACGAGCGATGGGGAACAGGTAACGAGAGGGCGAGGGGAAGCGGCCTCAAGCTGCCTCGGGGAGGTTTAAATTGGATATTAGGAGAAATTTCTTCGCTGAAAGGGTGGGCCAGCACTTGAACAGGGCTGCCCGGGGAAGTGGTTGAATCACTGTTTCTGGAAGTGTTCAGAAAACTTGTCCATGTGGCGCCTGGGGACATGGTTCAGTGGTGGGCTTGGTAGTGCTGGGTTAGTGGTTGGTTTCCAGCCTTAGTGTCTCTGTGATTCTAAGAAGTTGTTAGAAGAGCTATGTGAAACTCAAATTATTATCGAAGAGTTGGCATATTATATGGGCCGAACACCCCCGTGTCAGTCCTGCTACACATTTCCCTGTGACAGCTTGTTTTCTCTCAGGAGTGTGTTTGATTGTTCCTGAACATGCCCTACAGATAAATATAAATATTAATAACTTTTCTGATATTTGCTTTCAGAGCAATTGACAAACTTTCCCACAAACTGGATAGAAATGTTTATATCTCAGAACGGAACCTGGTTTTCAGTTTGTTGGGGTGAAATAATGTTTTGTTTTCACTAGAGGTCCCTGTTTAATCACAGTGGAATGAGGGAGCTTGTGCTAAATGCCTCTGTTGTTAGCTTGCAGATATTGATGCTCTACCAAGCCTGAAAGAACTTCTGGAATCTGTTCCAAACACAGACAAAAGGACCTGGGATTTATTCAGTTGGATTCTATCATCTAAAGTCTTCACGATACAAAGTACTAAGAAACATGAGGTAAGTTTTGAATTCTTGAAGTCTAGATTAGAGTTTGTTTTTTTTTTAGGACAAACTTGCACACTTTCAGAGAGCATTTCCTCCTGCCAGAATTAATTGGTTTATTGTGAGAGCTTGACTTGGGTGCCACTGAGTTGGGTTCTGCTCGTCCCTGAGAAACACAACTCTTGTCTTCTGCCTACTGCCCCAAAAATGGAAAGATTCAGCGCCACTGAGGTACTTCTGTAACAGGGATCAAAATAGTTGTAGAGATTAGCAGCAAGATGAAAACAACTTCTCTTTTCACTTTCTTTTCCTCTTCCAAAATCAGCTGATGAATGCATCTTCTTAGTAGCCAAAGTAGAAATGGGACATTGTCCTTACATCATCAAATAATTTGTAATCACAGTTCAGGTTTTTTTGTTTGTTTGGGTTTTTTGTTTGTTTGTTTTTTGGTTTAACTTTGATAGCAAGAAACTGTCAGAATTTTTACTGTCCCCTTATTCCTTCTGAATTGTGACAGTGTTGAATTCTAACTCAGAAAAGCATAATCAGAACACATCAAGCAATGTGAAGGGACAGGAAGCAGAATTTCCACTGAGTAAACTGACCCCACAAACCAACACTGATATTCCTTCCTGTTTTTAAGTACGAGAAGATCCAGGAGCTCACGGGGATGTCTGGGGCTGCAGTTCCTGCTCCAGACTATCTCTTTGAAGTTGTGTATTGCGATCAGATGAATAGCAAGTTTGCTGAGACCAAGGGAGAGCGGGACCTCATCTATGCCTTCCATGGGAGCCGCCTGGAGAACTTCCATTCCATCCTGCACAACGGCCTGCACTGCCATCTGAATAGGGTGAGGCTCCTGCTATTGGCACTGCCTTCTCTTGGTCACTTGCAGATAGGGACACCTTTTAAAAATAGGCCCAGATTCCTTTTGGGGGTGTGAACTGCGCTGATGATCCTGTGCTGCTGTTTTCACTCCAGTGTAGGCCTTAGTGGATGGCTGTGTTGGATTTTCTAGTGCAGCCCGAGGGTGAAAACTAGAAGTGGCATGAAAGCCTTTTCTCCAGCGTGACAAATTGTGACTGTCCTTTGCTTCTGTGTAAGGAAGTGTAATTCCTCTGAAAATACTGGCCTGTCTGACAGCCTGCAGCTGGACAGTGCCTGTCCACAAAGGAGGAGGAGGATAGTGGCCCAGGCAATGTAGAGATTCTCTCTTTCTGTGTGCCCTCGTGTTTAGATCAGCAAAGTTTTGGGTGCTGCTCACAAGTGGAGCCTTCTTTAAATGGCTTGGTTTAGGGAGACATCCCCTAGGATTTGCACCTCTTCTGATTTCAGTGGAAAGGCAGCTGGAACTCCTGGCTTTTTGTGTCAGCTGCAAGGCAGCTTTGGCACAGCACCTGCTTGACCTTCCCAGTCAACCTAGACTGTGCTTTTCCCCTCCATTCTAGATGAGTAATGGCTTACCAGGTACGATGGACTTACTGGATTAACAATTTTAGCCAGTATGGCAAATCCTCTGATTCCAAGTTATTAAAACACTTTTATTTGAAAGGCATTCATAATTGAAAAGTGCTTCCCTCTTTTCTAGTAAAGCATGGATTTAATCCAAGTAAAGCCTTGCCTTGTTTGGGGAGGCTGGATTATTTGAACGATGACAATCTCAATAAATCAATGAAATGCCTTTTAACAGCAGGGCAGTCATGTTGATGTAAAGTACTTATGCTGGCAAACGAAATCCAAATCCGGGAAAGCATGAATCTGTCCACACCAGGGGCTGTGCCAGACAGATAATTTGAGGGATAGGAGAGGGCAGCAGCCCCACCCCGAGGAAGCTGTGCCAGGACAAAAACAGTGCATGGACCAGGCCCAACGCGGGTCAGAAAAGCCTTTCGTAATTTACCTTCAGAAGCAGAACTGTCAGTCTGAAAGCAAAGAACACTTGTATGTTGTTTGAGGTTTGCGCTGGAGGATTTTAGGACAGATTTGTGCTCCGTTTCAGACGTCCCTGTTTGGTGAAGGCACCTATCTGACCAGTGACCTGAGCTTGGCTCTGCTCTACAGCCCTCACGGTCTCGGCTGGCAGCGAAGCGCGCTGGGCTCTGTCCTCAGCTGTGTGGCTGTTTGTGAGATCATTGACCACCCAGATGTGAAGTGCCAGGTGAAAAAGAAAGGTGAGTCTACCGCAGTGATAACTCTGTGTAGTAGCTACATCTGTGCTTCACGTGGTTTCTCGTTCCCTGTTGATATTAGCAGCTCCTTGAGCACTGGGTGGGAGACCCACCTCCTTGTCACCCTGCTCTGGGCCGTAATGTCATCCATACCAAGGATGACTAGGAGTGGTATAGCCTCAGGCAAACTTCTCAGTCTATTCTTGGATGCTGAGGGATTCAGGGGAATACCAAGACTAGATCTTTGGTTATCTCATTCCCATTCTTCTGGCGGGTGTGTACGTGTGTGTTGGTTGGTTGCCTTTTTTACAGTTGCATGAAGTTCTGTGTAGTTTTTTTTTTTTTCTTTCCTGTTCCCCCCAACCCTCTTTCCAATTCAGATTCAGAAGAAATAGACAGAAAGAGAGCAAGAGTGAAGAACAGCGAAGGGGGGGATGTGCCACAGAAATACTTTGTTGTCACAAACAACCAGCTTTTACGAGTTAAATACTTGCTGGTGTATTCACAGAAGCAGCATAGGAGGTAAGAGTTCAGCTGTCTAGAGTGATGAGTGTGCTATAGCAGCCAGATAAACACTTCTCATTGTTGAAAAACAACACAAAACCAGCAAAGAAGATACACTGCACTGCCAGAATTTGTTTTCAGCCTGTTTCCTATGGAAATGAGGCTTACAGCATCATGTTGCCTCTGTCTCTTTCTCTGACATTCTCAGGCTCAGCTAAATTTCCTTTTTCACCAGACCTGTAAGCACTTGGTATCTTTGAGAGCTCTAATAATCTGTTTGTGGCAGGAGACCAAGAATGAAAGTCTAATGAGTGTGGCTCTTAAAAGTGAGACAGTTTTAATTCTGCTCTTATCTATCCTGAGTGGCAGCATTCACTCAGCTAATCAACACATGCCTGAAGGCCAGGCATCTACAGCTCCAAACCACAGGGAAAGGTGTGAACATGGGGAGAAAAGACAGGACTGTGCAGGGAGACTTTGGGAAAAGGGATGTGGTGAAAATCAGGCTTTGCCAGCTACAGGGATTGTGGAACAGCTTCCTGTTTTTATTGCATTCTCTTAACCACTACAGATAATGAAATCTAAGGTACTCTTTGCCAAGGTATCCGAGCATCTCTGACAGAATCCGTGTACTTTTCCCTTTTCAGGCCTTCTAGTCAATCTTCCTGGTTCTACACCCACCGTTTTGCCATAATGATGATGCTGTACCTGCTGTTGTTGATAGTGATTGGGGCCAGCAACTCGCCAACCTTCATCTACTACTGGCACAGAATGTTTGACTCGGAGAGATGAATCACCCGAGATAATGAACTGTTGTTTTCACCACGTGCCTTAAGAATAGCTGATCTGCAACGCACTGCATCTGTTCCAGAGCTCTGGAAATAGAGGTGCCTGGAGCCTTCCAGTTCTGTCACCAGTGTATTAATCCTCATGGCATCTCTTCATTTTATTCTTATTTCTGTGTTTCTGTGTTTCATGAGGATGCCTGGTACAGCTGAAAAGGATCATAGTGGTGCAGCTTAGCATGAACCAATGGTTTAGGGTCCATGGGGAAAAAAGGGTATTTAAGATTAATAAAAACAGTGTGGAAACACTCAGGTGTAACTTATTTTCTGTCAATCTGAGATGTATGTTTGCACAAGTGGGAAAGGAGAAATTTTCTGTATGTCAGGCAAAGCAACCTGTTAGGAGTCTTATCAGTATGTTTTCAGAAACTGAATTTAGTGTTTAGCATGTATCCATGCAGATGGGATCACTTTTAAAACTAACTTTGGCCAGGAACTTTTATATTTGAGCATAAGGATTGTACGAAAACAAAACCAACAAACCAACAAGAAATAAAACAACTGCCAAAATGGAAGAAGTGAAGTGATTTCTAGTATGTTTTTTTTTTTTTTCCACCCCTCTGTAGAACAGTTGTGTTTTAATCCCAGCTGGCAGCTAAGCAGAAATCCAAAACACAGTCCCTACACTAGCTGCTAGGAGGAAAATTCTCTCTACCCTGGACAAAGCCAGCACAAACATCTACAAGGCTTGTGCTCTCAGCCACGCTGTGTCCTGTCCTTGGTTAGTGTGCAGATCAGACAAACTCAGGCTGTTCATCATCAGAGCTAAATAAGGATTGTTCTTACCAAACGGGATTTGTTAGAGAACACCCGCACAGGCATGCACAAGTTACTTGTACAACAGACACGGAGCAACACCTTCCACATCCTCACCGAGTCATCTGTGTTCGCTGTTGTTACACAGCAAACTACAACTACCTGACACAGAGAAAGGAGCAAAGAACTGTCCTCTGATTATGGCCTGGGATAACCCCATGAAGAAGCAGGGAAATTGCAGGCAAAGAAAAGCCAGGTATGTGCTACAGTTCAGCCTCGCAGCCCAGCCTTTAGCAGACTTTGATAAACACGGGTTTTCATTGCACAGTGAACCCTAACCACAAAAAAAGGAAAAAAAAAAAATCTCATCACATTTCCAGCAAATGAGTCTGTGATTGCTCCCTTACTCATTAAATATTTCAAAGAAAATCCCATCTTCTGATGTTGTTCTGGTACCTAATTGCCAGAAATAATGTCCTAGTAATCAGGTTTTCTTAAGGCTGAGAACAAGTTGATTTCCAGCAACCCCTCTTTCTTGGTGGCTGGAGCTAGACACATTTATCCCAGTTAATTTTGCTGCCAGAACAAATTTATTTATTCACCATACAACTTGCAAAACAAGAACATTATAATCCAATTCCCCATTGCCTTTTACAGCCCGTTAATAATGCTCAGTGTCAAAGCATGTTGTGGCGCCTCAGCCCAAGAAGTGTCCATGCTAATTATAGCAGTGATTTGCAACTAAAATACACATAAACTCAATAATTTATTGTGCAACAGATTCAACTACTTCATAGTAGTTTAGTCCTTGGTATTTCAATGCAGAAACTTGGGTTTTGAGACACGTGGGTCCTGGGAATAGGTGCCCATTTTTGGTCCACCTCAGCATATTATATTAAATGTTGTGCCATATAAATATGCAAGTTTAGGGCAGGTAAAGTGCCAGCCAGAAAACCTAGAGGTATTTGAATCTATCTAAAGGGTACCGGGTAGCCAAAAGCCTTATATGTCTGAAAAAAAACAAACCCATCTTTTGGAACAGATGGGCTATTTGGGGCCCTTTGGAAAAGGAGGAGGTTCAGCATCAGTTGTGGGATGGCTTCTGGCACTGCAGGGAAAGGCACAAACCTGGGAGCTCCTGAGCCAGATGAAAGGAACACAGCAGGGATTCGAAGCTCTTTTCTTAGGGTTTCTTTGCATAGGAAAGTTTCTGAGAGTAAGCAAAAGGAGTAATAATAGCTCCAGGCTACGTCCCTGGAGAGAGAAAGCATTGTGGGGGCTCATGGCAGACACGCACAGTCCTGCTCTGCGATGAGATCAGCAGGTTTTAAAGGAAAAAAACCTGCTCTTTTCTGCTTTTTTTCAGTTTGAATAGACTCAAGAAAAGAGAAAAAAGTGGCTGCAGGTAGGGGCTGAGTCCCGATGAAGTGTCTGGAGTGTCCCTTGGAGGGCTCACAACCCCCCATCCCTCGTGCTCCCAGGCCTGCCGGGCACAGCCTCCTCCGTGCTCTAGCTCCGCAGCTGCGGAGCGAGGCAACGGCAAGATATTTTAAACGCGTTTAAGGTGCTCACATTCTACCTAGTGGGCTGGCAAAGTACTTAACATCCTACTCCCACGCTTGTTTTCTGTGCTCCCTGCTGATTTCAGCATGTGTTTCCCAACGTGGCGAGGTGCAGTCAGCTGGATTAATGCGGGCATTGTGCTGAGTAACTAACAGTATTATGAATTAACCCAAGGTTTGTGTTAGCCTCTTAAGCCACTTGCGTGGCTCTTTGAACACGCACAGTGCTATGAAAACACTAGCAGGGAACGAATCAGAATTCCCTCCCGAACAAAGGGGCCGCTGTGTCTGAAATGGGCAGCCCAGGGTGAGGAGTTGTAAAATGTAGAGCTACCTGTACTTATTAATGTGTTTGTTGTGTTACTGTGGTGAATATTAAGGAACTGTTACTGAATCAGGCAAACCTGATCCTGCCGGGGCTGCAAGGAGGAGTGTGGCAGCTGGTGCTTTGTGGTGGGGACGGGCAGGTTTTGTGGGAGAATTTTCATCCCACAAGGGGAAATACATAATGCACACATAAATATAAGGGGTTTTTTTCACTATATATATGTATGGAGATCTCAGGAGCCAACTGAAGAGAAGGGCTGTTGGGGACCAGAGGTTTGAGCTAATGTGGGGAGAGAGGGAACCCCTGAAGAAAGCAGGACCATCCCTGGGGTGGGGAGAAGCGAGGCTCTGGGATTCGTGCTCCTGGTAAGTGATGCAAAAATCATGTGCTCTCTGCAGTATGAGCAAATTTAGGAAAAGCAGAACCAGAAACAGAGGAATATTCAAACCAGGCCGTGCTTTGGTCCACCTGTGACAGGACCCAAACCCAGGTCGATCCCAGCTCCCCCAGGGAGGTGCTGCCCACCTGCTCACTGCCCCTACCCACGTTTGGTGGGCACACGGCTTGGCAGCACGCTCTTCCAGTGACATTTTCCTTCCCTCGTGAAAGCTGTCACTTTGGGCACCTTGCCCACACTCCATGCTTCCCAGAGTGTCCGCTTGAGCACCAGCAACAAGAGGCAAGATATCAGAGAGGTGGGCAAAAGGAACAGCGCTGGAGTGCCCACAAACAACCGAAGGGATGTGCCGTGCTTCCCCTAAGGACCAAGCTATGTATGCTTGGCAGCATCCCAGTTTTCCTACCCTTCACAGAGGTCTCTTCCAACCTAAATGATTCTGAGAATATCGAGTCCACCTCAAGGCAAAGCTGCTCCAGCCCTCCCACTGTACCTATGGGGTGTAAAGGTGGTGGGTCCCTCACAGAAAGGAAAAAGTGCTTCTTGCTCCTCACAGAAAATCTCCAAGCTCCCCTGCTGCTGGGCAAGAGAGGACATGCTGTCTTAAGTGCATGAGCAATGCCAGACCTGCTCTCTCTCACTCAGCAAGAAGTGGGTGAAGAAAGTTTTCAGCAGATTACAGACACTTTCCTGCTCATTGAAGGCTTGCCAGAAACATCCACACACCTTGAAGTTCTGCCTCCCATCAGCCATCATAAGCAACATAAACAGAGAGACCAACAGAGTGCTGATGAATAAATTAGCTTCTTTTACTGCCAGCAATCTCTACCACCTTTCAAGAAGGCCTTTTTTTGCCAGCCCTGCATTGTGTAATTAACCTTGAGCAGGACGAGCCCAGCAAAGCCATACCGCGATTACTCATCTTGTTGGAGTTTGGATGCTTCCTAAATGGCTCACACTAATCCCCACCACTTGGTCTGGGCTCCTGCAGTTCTAACTGATTTTGTTTTTCCTCCTTGGGCAGCATGTTTAGCATAAATGATAGTTAGCGTGGGGAAAGGGAAGTGCCCAACACCGGACGACAGCTCACCCTGAGCACTCTGGCTTCCCATATCCTCACTGCCCAGCCTCAGCCAGCCTGCAAGGACTGCTTGCCACCCCTCCAGCTTTAATAATTTGTTAGCTGGGGCACTGGGAGACCAGTGCAGATCCTTTCTGACTGATGGGGAGCCATCCCCTCTTGCAGACCAGATTGAGAAAAAGCCCCCTCAATGCCCAAGGGAAATTTGCTTCCTTGGGCAGAGACATCTTCCAGCTCCCAATACATGCAACCACAGCGAGCCAAGAGTTGTTTTTAAAACAAAGCTCTTTCATCCTGATAAAGTCCAGATGCTTGTTCAAAGCTGAGGTGGCCACAAAAGTAGCCAAGGAAGTGCTTCCTGCCAAGTCCAGAGCTCCTGACTGCCCAGAGTTTCACAAAACTGAAAAAACCCCAACAACACACCTGGCTCAAAACTAAATTTCTCTTAAAAAGGAAAAAACATATTTAATAACAATCATCAGAGAATGAAAAACAAGAAATAATCCACTATTTCTAAGTACCTGGAAAGGACAACAAAACTGAATAAAACCATCTCTTCAGCCCATACCCAGAGAAGAGATCTCAACATTCTCAAGCAAACCTTTAGCACGGTGGTAGAAAGCAAACTCATCTTACTCACCACAGCTCAGCTGCCCCTCCAGAAGCCTCCTTTGCCCTCACAGTGCAGCCAAAGAGTGTCAGCCTCCACTTGGCACTAATAAGTGGTGACGGGCCCCTCCACCCACCAGCTGTTTCCCATCACCTTCCCTGTTGGGACACCTCTGGAATCACCTGTGGGGTGTCTGCACCTGCCCCGCTGGAGCAGAGCCAAGGGGCTGGCACTGGGCAAAGCAGATGTGTCCAGCAAGTGGTCTGCAACCTGCAACCCCCAAACATCCTGTCTCGTGGTCAGCCCTGTGTCCCAAACTGCTGTGTAAGGATGTGTCCATGCCATCCCCTGCACACCAGAACACGGAGCAGGGACTGTTTTCCCTTCTGGCTATCTCCAAAAGGCAGAAGAAACCCCGCCCCATACCTATCCCATTGTGGTTCTTTGTACCCCTCTTGCCCAAGCCAACCCATCCCCACAGAACTAACTCCCTTGCATTAGTCAACCCTCAGATATTTAGATCTCTCCCAGGCTTGTCACACAGCCATGGGAGAGCCCAGAGATCTGAAATTTCCAGGGAGCTTTTCCTACAGTGGGTGGAGAAAAGAGAGTAAAAGCCTGTGATCACACCTTTGCAGCCTCAGGGTGACACCATCCATGCATCTCCACACTGGGGTGTAGGTGCAAGGGGCACTTGAAGACTGGACACCCCATGGACGTGGCCCTGGACCACAGAGTCTCCTCCCAGGGGTGGATACTGGAAGTGTGCAGAAGCTTGATCCCAGAATCAGGGATAAAGCATGTGTAGGGTATGAAAAGGAAGTTTTTCTAGTTGTCACAGGGTTGCCAGAATACGGCAGAATGACCAGAAATACCCCCAAATGTTTGTCACCCTGAGTACAGGCAGGAGATGCATTCCCCATTCCTGGCCAGAGACCCTCACCCACCAAAGCTGGGTGGCAAACCTCCTTAGAACAGTCTACAGAATGATCCTGTGGGACAAAGCAGCCCCAAAGCTGTGCCTCCCATCTCCCTGTGGGTACGTCTCTCCATCAGACTGCGCTGACAGTTGTCCCGTTGGAGCCCCCTGACGCCACTCCACCGTTTACAGCACCATCCTTGATGTTCTTCTCCGGGGCTGAGATGGGATTGTGTCTCTTGTGCCTGGTGATGGCTGTTCCGATGCCCCTGAGACACAACTGCACGTCCTCCCGAAAGGAGGGGGTGTAGAGTCCATAAATGACAGGGTCTGTGCAGGTGTGCAGCAAGCCAAAGAGGAAGAAGCTGTGGTTGACGTACTCTGGCATCTTCTGGATCATGGCTGGCTGGAACCAGTACCACAAGCCCAGGAGGTAGTACGGGGTCCAGCAGATGATGAAGGTGGCTACAATCACTACGGTCATCTTGAGAGTCTTCATGCGTGCCTTGGAGATGTGGTCATTTTGACTTCTTGTCAGACCTGCCAGGGAGAGTCAAAGGGATAGTTGGAGATGGGGGGAAACCAGGAGAACATAACCATCTTTGATTGTGCTTCTATCAGAGAGGGGAGACCATCTTGTGGTCCAGTCCATGGCCGACAGGAAGCAGAAGACAGCAAGGAATGGGGTCAGTTAGTGTGTGTAAGACCCCTTAACTGGTTTGTCCTTCAAAAGGTGACAGACCCAACAACAACTCCAGGCTGGAGCAGGTTCAGTCATGGAGTCATGGTGGACACTAAAGGGCTGGGACCTGCTTACCTTTATTGATCTTTAGCTGCCTACTGATCTCCCAAAGGATCCGGATGTAGCAAACAACCATGACGCTCAGGGGGGTGATGTAGAGGGTGGTGAAGGTGAACATGTTGTAAACAGTTTCCTCCCAGTGAGCTCGGAAGCTCCCATGCGTGACACACTGGGTGAAGTTCCCTCCTGGAATCGTGTGCAGGTGGAAGAGGAAAAGCTGAAATGGAGAACCAAAGAATAACTCAGAGAGGATTTGGAACAGGGCCCTATGCCCTGTGCACGGAGAGCAACTCCCTGCCACTGTTGGACTGGGAGAGCGGCTCTGGTCAGATAACTCATGGTTTGTTCAGGGTGGATGGGACCTGACAGCCGAGAAATCCCATTTTCTCACCATAAGAAATGTTGTTTCGGTCAGGAACTGCTCAGGTTCATCTTGGTCTGCTCCAACATGTTTTGCAGTGGTGCATTTTTAGGAGAAGATTACCATGTGCACAAGGAATTAAAACAGTGGACACTGTTTTTTCCCAGCCCTGATGGTGGCACTGAACAGGTGCTGTGACAAAGGTGCAAAGCAGCCGTGACCACCCAGCGCACAACCACACTGCTTCCCTCAGCAGAGCCAATCCCGTGGTGGTGGAGCCCGTGGATTGGGATGGACTGGTTGGGAATCCCTTCTCCAAAACCACCCCAGCCTGGGCAAACCCGAGGCTGGGTTTGGCAGGCCCCGAGCCCTACCTGGGGCAAAGCCAGGAGCATGCTGCCAGCCCAGGCGGCGCGGAGCAGCATCCCGTTGCGGCGGTGGGCGCGGGAGAAGGGACGGAGCACAGCCGCGTGCCGGTCCAGGCTGATGACCACCAGCACCAGGGCGGCCGCGTACATGGCAAACAGCTTGAGGAAGTTGAGGACCTTGCAGGAGATGTCCCCTCCGTACCACTGCACCGTCACGTTCCATGCCGCGTCCAGGGGCATCACCGTCACCGTCACCAGCAGGTCGGCCAGGGCCAGGCTGAGGATCAGCGGCTGCACGTGGGATTTCCTCCTCTTCCTCAGCAGGCTGCCCAGCACCGCCGCGTTGCTGCCCGCCGCCAGCAGGAAGAAGATGGCTGTGATGATCACACGGACCTTCGCTGCTCGCGTGAACTGCGGCTCCACCCAGTACTGGGGGTAGGCAGAGGCTGAGACATTGGTGTCCTCCCGCGTTGTGGGGCAGTGGGCAGACGCAGGGAGCTGCTCCTCGCTCATCCCCTGCTGAAACGCAAAGTGAAGCCCTCCTGAGGGGCTGTGTAGTGTGCTGCAGCTTCAGTGTGAGGAGGAATGGGGACGGGGTGGGATCTGCACTGGAGGCACCAGCAGCAACCTGCCAGTCCTGTCCTGTCCCATCCCATCACTGCCTGTCCCCTCAGTGTTGCCCGCTTTGCCGAGGCACCACGTCCCCCCGGCCCGGCCGCCCTCCCTGGCTAACCCCTGCTGTAGCCATAGTGACTGCTCACACAGACATATATTTTTAGCTCCTTGCGAGGCGGTTGAGCAGCTGGGAAGCAGGAATGGTGGCCAGGACCATGGGACCAGTCGCTGTCTGCCAGCATCCTGCTGGGAATGGGTCATACCAGAGCTGGCTGAGCCTGTGACGGGGCAGCCGTGCTCGGTTCAAGGACTTGTCCTTCCTAAGGGGGTTTGCAAGCAGGGATCAGCTTTTCAGAAACCCCACGGCCCTTTCCATTAATGTGTTTAACCTTTATGATCCATCTCCAGTGCTGGATTGGAGCTGTGCGTGGGAGCACCCAGGGGTGGCCAGGAGGGGAAAATGGGGGTTCCATGCTCTCCAGGGACTGACAGTGGCTCTCTCGGGAGAGGATCACGGTGGAATTTAGAAGCCTGGACTTTCACAGGACCCTGGCAGCACCAGCTCAACACCTCTGTACCTTTCCCTTTGGGAGGCAAAACAGGAGAAGGAGGAAAAGATATAGAGACACCCCCACAATGGGGGTGGCAGGGGGGTGATGAGCAGCGTGCTGGTCCCCCATCCTTGATTTAATTGCCCTTTTTTCTTGAGCAGACCTCCCATTTCAAGGGCTAATTCTTCCAGCTCTTGGGTACATGAGGTCTAAACAGTCCCAGCTGCAGGTACAGTACATCTATTACTGTTTCAAGCACCTTCCTGTTTGCTGATCCCAAAATAAAGCATTCCCCACCTTTGCATAAATAACAGGAGCAGCAGAGATCAAATCCATCTCCCCAGCTCTGCAGGATGGAGATGCCAGCACCTTGCAGCAAACCACCCTCCTTCCAGCCCCACCACCCGCAGCCCGAGCCCCCATCCCCTCGCCGCCTTCACCCCCTCCCTCCCCAAAGACCATCCCAAAAAAACGACCAAACAAACAGCAAAAATAAAAAGCAGCTCAAAAGTACCAAGTTGCTCGCTGGCTGTCCGGAAGAAATAAGGAGAAACCCGTGTCCAGGTCAGGATTTCTCCCGGCCGATGGGAACATACCTGCCATACGCATGCCCTGACGCCGAGAGAAGACGCTCCGTGTCTTTCCCACGGGTCTCCCAGCGCTGCGGTGCTGAGTCAGGATGCTCCGGTGTTTCTTTGCATCACCTCCCTGCAACAAACCTTGAAGCAGTAAAACCCCCCCTCGCCAGCGGCCAAGCCGGGAGCGACGCCGCTGTTCGCACAGGCGTCTGCAGGCATCTGGAGATGGGAATGCTGCTGCAAGAGTTCCCTGCACCAGCACACCGGCAGCGGGGCACGCTGAGGTGGGCACCCACGGGCAGCCTGGCTCAGGCAGCCACTACCACCCCTGCCCTCATCAGCTTAACGAGCTGCCCTCTTAATGAGCAGGCAGCGGAGATGATGACAAAGCCGCCGTAATGCAAGAAATGGCCAAAATTCAAAATGCTGTGGCCAAACGTGGCCCCGTGAGGGATAAGTGCCAACACTCCCGGCACTGGTTTGCTATAAATACAGGAAAATGAGTTAATTATCCCCGGAGTTGGTGATGAACGTCCCGTTGCTCAGACAACGGGGACACTCACAGACACACACACACACACACACACACACCCCTCAGGGATGCTCCTGGACCACACGGGTCTGTGGGAGCATCACAGGGAATGCTGCAAGGAGGGGATTAATAAGAGGAAACTTGGGGCATTTTACCACTGTAATGAATACACATTTTTTTTCCCCCCTGCACTCTATCAGTTCCCATCTTGTTCTTTCTGTGTTTCTTGCAGCATAAGGCAGTGAGAGGGAAGGACCTTGAGAGGGACAAAGAGCTCACAAGAGCTTAAAAAATATGATGTGCAAGGCAAGGGCAGGGAAGGAAACTGAGGACACCCTGCTCCTCTGGCCGGCAAAAGAGCTGTGGGGGTGACAGAGGGCCAGCCCCAAGTCCTGCTGGGGCCAGCACCGGCAAACATACTCCCAGTGGCACCACGTGGACTTTAATGACATACAAATAGACCTTCACATCTCCCAGGCTATGAAATTAAGGAGTGCATGGTCTATAGATCCCTGCAGGTCCCAGGCTGGTAGGGGTGGCTCTGCACTGTTCCCCAAGAGGAGCAGATTCACTTTCTGGAATAGGTTTTTCACCATTAAACCCATTCCCACTTATTTTCAGGAGGAAATGCCTGAGCTCTGAGTGGGGTTGCACCATTTCTGAAATTGCTCTGCTGGCAGGAGTGCTCCTGGGCACAAGCAGAAAAAGACTTTTTCCCCTTAGTGGGTTTAAGAGTCAAACTGTGTGTCAGAGGGAGCAGCTCCCGAGACCAAGAGATGCTGCAGGCACTGGACCACATTCACCCCAGAGTCCCCTAAAACCTCCATGACTTCTGCATGGAACTGCCAAAAGGGATCAGGCTGGAAACCCTCTGCTTGAAGCCACAGAGAGAAATCCCTGCATTCAAAGTGCTTTACATCTGAGGGGAAAGAAAAAAGCAGACCCACCATTGGCACTGCCCGTGAGCACCAACCACTCCTGCAACATGGGAGGGGACTGTCCCCATCACCTCCTTACCTGGCAGGGGCATCGCCTCCCAGTGCCACAGGAACCAGCCTGATCCCGGGGGGAAAACAGCACAAAACCCACAAAGAAGCTGGGTGGAAGTCTGTTTGTTACAGCAGCCCTCCCCTCCCGGTGTTGGGCTCCCGCTTAGAGCCAAGATTTGGCCCCACACACTCATCCTTATGTTTCCTTTCGTTTGGCCTTTGCACCTGCACAAAAGCAATTAAATAGCGAGTCAGGAATGTATTCCCTGTTTGTCCTTCCTTCTGGCTGGTGGCCTTTTTGTCTAGAAATGTCCTCCTCATCCCCGACTGTATGATGCAAGAGAGGGACAGGAATTTTCTTGGGAACTGTAAGGCTTGCTCATGACACAACAAAGCCTTTAGTCCCTGTTCAGAGAGGATTTTTTTAGCATACCATCACACAGAAATGTCCTGGGCATGCATTAGCAATAAGTCTTATTTTAAGGGTGGGGTCCCTAATTGAAATGACTATTTTTCTCCGGCGTTTGCACAGTAACCCCCTTGTGTTTTCTCTCTCTCTCTTTTTCTTTTTTTTTTTTTTTTTTTGCTCATCTCCTCAAAGGTCAGCTTGGATGTTGTCTGCTCAGCAGCCTTCAGCCCAATCTCTGAACGCTGGTTTAACGATCAGAGCGGTTTGGTCTCCAGGATTAGGAAACAGTGCTGGCAGGAAGGGTTTGTTTCCATACATCCCAGCTTGGCTCTTCCCAAAACCCCTCTCCTTTTGGGATGGTGCCCCAGTACATCCCCAGCACTGGGTCATGAGGGGACAGAGCATCCCCCAGTGTCCCCAAAGAGGACTTATCTCCCCAGATCCCCACAGATCATCCCAGGATGCTGGAGAAAACAGAAACCAGAAAGCCACACTGGGTAGCACAGCCCCAGTGGCAATTTCTGCACGAGCAGACCTTAAACAAAAATGCAAGTGCTGTGTTTTTCCATTGGACATTCCATATAAACTGGGATCTTATCCAGGGAAAGCAGCGTGGGATACAGTTTCCATTAACCTAGTGCAAACACGGGGCAGGGAACCTGCTGCTGTTTATCCTGATAAATCACTGCCGGGGTCTTGGCTTCCCAAAGAGAGAAAAACTTGTATTTTCCCCTCTGAGAGAAACTCCAGCTGCTGGGAATTATGGGGGAGTAACAAAGGGTGATTCTTTGGCAGGACCCATCACCTGCACCCTCACCCCCAGCACCCTCACCCCAGGCAGGTGCTTCTGCCAGGCTGCCTGCCCCAAAACTCCCCTTTGCTCAGAAAAATCTCACCATTTCAGTGGGTTTTTACTGCTGATTTTTTTTTTCCCTCTCCAATTCTTCTCCTCCTCCTCCAAACCTTGAATTGTCTCGTCCAAGGAAATTTTTGTCTCATACTGGACTCGAAACAGAAAGTCTAGTCAGGGACATCTGACATGCAATGTTTTTGTGAGTAAATACCAGCGTCCATGAAGTCATTTCCCGGGGTTAGAAATGAGCTCACCTCTGGAACGGCTTCTCTTCTTACCCAAAGTTCACAAGTCAAGCATTGGGAAGCTCCCAGTTTTCTGCCTTCTCATTAAATAACAGCATCATAAAAAGCAGCACGATGCCACCTCTGGCTGTATGCTACAAACAGGTCCCGAGCGGGCCATCACCCAAAATTCCCTAAAATCTCTGCAGCAAAAGGCAGAGGCTCAGTGGTCACCGGGGATAAACCAGCACCCCATCCTGCCTGCTCAGCCGGCCCCGGCCGCTCTGCCGAGCCTGCCAGGGCTGATGGTAATTGCTGCCCCTCCTGGGGATAATCTGGGTCATCCCGTCCTCCTCCTAAAAACCTTTGTTTAAAGCAGAGGGAGGGATCTCTCCTACCCTCCAGGCTCAATTACTTGGTAAACTGTCTCTTTGGTGAAACAATGCGCTCTTTCTGATTGAGCTTCCTACATTGAAGCCTCGCTGATAAAAGCCCTTCTCCGAGCAGATATCGCACCGTCAGACAGCGGTGCTGAGGAAAACGTGCTGAAACCCGCTGCAATTCCCACCTTTTAAGACCCTGGCTGGTGCTTCTGGTGCTGCTGAGCCCAGATGTCCAAAGCATAAGTCCCAGGGGTTCCCCAAATTCACATCTTTCCACGAGGAGCAGCAGCTCTCGTGGTCTTTCCTCCATCTTTCACCAGGACATCTTGACCAGAGCAACATCCCCTTTTCTCATCTTCAAACTGGGCCAGAGAGAGGAGAGAATTTATCACCCCAGACCAAACCCTGTGGTCCAGCTCCAGAAAATATGGTGGGATTTGGTGCCAAGTCCCATCTGCTCACCACCAAGTGATAAAAACTGGTTTCGTGCATGCATTGCCGCTACACCCACAGCTCATCCTCCTCACAGCAGCTTTGCTTCCCTGCCCAAGCTGGAATTTATTTGTGGGGAGAATTCTTTAGGAACTTCCACCTGGCATCTCAGTTCTGTGATGGGCCAGTCCCCAGTAAAGCAAGAAAATCACCCACGGGGTGGATGGAGGGGCCATGGGTCCCCTTCAGCTCGGGCACACACTGACCTGGCCACGGCTCCCACTGCCCTAACCGGGTATTTTTCTTGAGCTGGAAGGAATTATGAAATGCCAATGTTTTCCTTGTGACTAACCATGGAAGTGAACAATTTTGCCCTTGTTTTTGGACCGTGTTTAGTTGCTCTTCTTGCCTTTGCCTTCTGCACCCTCTTTTATCCTCCTCTTTTTCTACTCCCTGTGGGACATGACCGTCGCATTGCTCCAAATATCCTCCTCCCTCCAAGCTCCCAGATTGGATTGTGTCCCCCCCAGGCCGTATTTCAGTGCTCCCTTTGGATGCTCCTTCCCAAACATGTGCCAGATTCAAGGGCTGGTCTCCTTTGTTGCACTGGGGGAGAGGTGAGATGTGGGGAAAGCCGACATCCCTGCGGGACCCTCGGCACTGTTACCCGGGGCTTGCAGGAGCAAGAAGCAGGGAACACTTCCCCTGACAACTCTTTCCCATGCACTTCACATCTCTGAGCAGTTTTCAAGGCTTAAAACCACCCCCTGGGTGAACTTTATGCGGGGACACGATTCTTTTCTAGGCTTTTTTGGAAAGGATCAGTGGCTTGGTGGGGTAGATGCTATCAATGTTGAATTTAATGAGCCAGAGAGATATAATTTCTGCTCCCTGCGTTTGGCTCAGAGCAGGTTTCTTGCAGAAGGCTAAACTCTGGGAATGCAAGACTCAGGTATCCCTTGGGATGAGCATCAGTGCTGACATATCCTCCCATCTGGGAGGCAGCGCTCAATCCGAAGCTGGGAGTGTTGCAGTGAGTTTCTCTCCGGAAGGGCTCATCTCCCACCCATCCTGCCTTCCCAACCTGCTCCTGGCAGGTTTCACCTCAGCCAGGCCAAGGTGCTCATGCTGGGAGCTGCCAGTCCTTCCTTCAGCAGCGCCTGGCCCCCACCAAACCCTCTGGTGCGCTCCCGGCGAACACGCGTTTACCCTCAGGCGAAAGCTGATATGGCCACGTATTCCAGGGGGAATCCCAGCAGCGCTGGAATTAGCTCGGCAGATTCCGGCTTTTCCAAGCGCGGCCCTGGCACGTCGCACGAGGTCGAGAGATGTTTTACGTCTCCGGTCGCCCCCGTGACCGCAGGCGCCCTGGGAAGGGGAGGCATTTCCATGCTGTCTCTTGCCAGTGCAGATGGATGTTGGCAAACTCTTTCGGAGCTGAAACCTGGGGGTGGATCTGCACCAACTGCCCCAGCCCAGGCTCAGCTCCACGTTGCTCGGTGCAACAATTACCCTGAAATAAATTCCCAAATGGTTCAACAAGGAATGCCCACCACCCGCTCAGCTCCATCATTTCCACTTTCTGCCCATTCCACGTAGAGGTTCCTCTGCACACTAAAAATACACCTTTTAACCTGAAGTTCCACTTTCATTGCTGTTGCCTCTGGTCCAGCTTACAAAGCCTACACCTCTCCCATGTGTTCCCCCTTGATCCCTGCAGAGCAGGAGAAAGACAGACTGGAAGATCCAAGCCCTCCCCTGCACACTCATGGATCACACAGGAGGATGCTGGTTTTTAGGAAAAACTGGCTGAAATTTTGCTGGTGTAAATCACTGCAAATCTGCCCACCTCAACCTGGTTTATAGCAAGAAAATCAAGGAGGAAAAGGCACAGAGGAGACAAGGGATCATCATCCCATGGGTGGGAGGCTGTGCTTCGTGCCAGCACGGGTGCCCAGCCTGGAATGCATCCCAGTCCCAAGCCAATGCCCGTAAATAAGAGTAATAAATCAAGGATTTCTTCAGGAGCAACTAATTACCCAACTCAACATGGGCTTTGACACAGGATGGTCTTTGTCCACCAAACCCTGTCCAGAGCTAAAGCAAACAGCCAGCAGGCTGTGGGTTGGAGCTCTGCTCCTGCCCTTCCTTCGTGGTGTAAATGTCCTCATTGAGGTGCTGCCCTGGCTTGGGCATGGTCACTTTCCCATCACACCCGTTCCCATCCTGCGACCACTTTTCCATCATTGATCTGAGGTTGTGCAATAGCTCAGGCCCTGCCACAAGCCCACATTTGACAGCAAAATGTTCCCAGCAAATGCTGGTGTCATTCCAGCACATGGCACCATGATGCTGCCCTGCAAGTGCCCCCGAGCAGCTGATGCTCCAAGGAAAGGTTGGGATGTGCATAACTCACTGAGGGCTTGAAAATAATGGCCTTCTCCATCTTGCAGAGAGTTTTTAAATGAACCAGGATTCTTATCTTAATTTCCCCAGCTCAGCAATGTAATTAAAAAGGGATTTGTTGCTGAGACACTTCCAGTGCTCTCATAGTGTCACCTGTCTCTGCTTTTCCAAGCTGTGGTGGGGAAGGAAAACTGCAAATATGGACATGGCATCCAGGAGGCAAATCCCAGTGGGACTCCTCTCCCCAAGGAACGTGGGTCTGGGAATGGGACTGTATGTATGAGGCAGCAATGCAGGTGACAGTCCCTGGGCACTCAGGTAGCAGATGTGCCCTGCAAAAGCACTGGAAAAAGCCCTTTTCCTTGACAGATGGAATCATGGAGCAGGGGACACCCCCTTTTATACATCAGGGCGTCAGTTGTGTCGTGCTTGTGCCAGCAGACATTTGGGGGCTCACCCTGTGGCCACACCTCACGACCAGCACAGCCACATCCACTTGCTCTCCCTTCACTCCCGGCTCTTTCCCCACTCCAGAAAAAGCCTTCCTGACCTCCACAGCTAAAAATCAGTCTTTCCCTCGCTCCTATCTCTCCTGGCTTCCCCACTCTGCGCTGCCTTTTGTATCTGTCCCATAAATGTGTACGTGAGAGGAGCACTGCTGAGCCATGGTTGCAGCTTTAGCTCCGAAGCGAAGCCTTCCAGAGGGGGGAAAGGTCCACTCACTCCTTTTCTCCCAGCCACAGCCTGTAAATCCTCATCTGCACAATGAAAACAAACTCCAGTAGTTCATTTTTTTGGCTCTTTTCCAAAGCTTTTAGGCAACTGGAGTGCGATTTTGTGCTGATGAAGCGGTGGAGGAGGGCTTAAGTGAAACAATATTGTGGTGGCTGCACGGTTTGCTCCTGGTTCGGAGCTCAGAGCGAGCCCCAGGGACCCGCCACATCTCCAAGTTCTCCTGCAAACCATGGAAATCGCAAGTCCGGCTCCTGGGACAGCAAAACAGGATTTCAAAAACAACATTAGCCACCCCTGGAGCATGGCTGGAGAAGTGCCGGGAGCCAAGTGCTTAATGAAATCCCAGCTCCCAGCTCTCCCTCCTAAACCGCGCAAACTTCCCCAAAGTGTTTGGGATGGAACAAAGTCATCAATCAGTTATTTTAACTCGCAGCTCCGTAAACAGAAGCAAGCCCAGGAACATGCAGCAGGGGAAAATAACCGTCAGCTCCCTTCGGTGGGGCGGAGAGGGCACAGGGAGGGAGGACGAGGGCAGCCGGCCGGGAACTGAGCACGGCCTTGGGTCCCAAAGCACATTTCATGGGACCCACGGAGCATTTCACAGACCCCACAGCCTGTAAATTCAATGTGCAGCGCTGAGAGCAGCCCCACCATCCCTGCCACCC